TTTAAAACAAACAAGCACACTCTGTTATCTGTGTCTATCTCACCACTCTGGACGTTAATCATCACTGAAATGGATACCCTCGTCCTCCAGCCTCAAAGAGCTCCAAGGCTGCAGGACCGGCACAGGAATGAGCCTGCATGCCAGGGCAAACACCTCAGCTCTACTCCTGGAACCCCTATTGTTAATTCCAGGCAAATTGATCTCAGGCTGATATGAGAGCACCCAAGTAACTGTCCATCGGCTATTGAAAAGGAAATTCCCACTTGAAAATATGTAACCCTGAAATAAAGAAGGGGGCAAGGAACACAGAAATTGCAAGCATTATTTAAACAGGTTTCTATGCAGATTTCCCCCCTTCCTTCCACTCACTAATTACCTACACCAGAATTTACAGACAGTACCTCTGTTCTCCCCCAGTGTGCTTCCTGCACATAGCAGGCATCATATATGGGCAGAGCTGGGGTCTACTGCTTTGTTCTTACACACTGAACAGGGTTAGCTAGTGCCCATCCCATCTCTGCCAAACACTGCCTTGATCTTTACTATTGTAACCAATATAGTTCTATTTCCCTAGGATCCATAAAGCTTTCAAATAAAACTAATTTGAAATTGGATGACTAATTTAAACTACTTGTTTCCAAAAAGAAAGAAAGAAAGAAAGAAAGAAAGAAAGAAAGAAAGAAAGGAAAAGGAAAAGGCAGGGAGAGAAGAAAAAAAAAACCCACTTAGGTTACTTCTTAGTGTTCACTGGGCAAGAGGCCTAAAGGGAAGCAAATTATTTGTTTGTGGTTTTTAAGTGGCTCAAATGCCTTCAAGCACAAGAATAAGACCATTAACAAATGACAAGGAACCCAAGCAGTTCATCTTACTCACAAAGCTATGATCAGTTAGAAAGAGCTAAACTGAACAGGGCCTGCCCTGGGCCGGAAGGTCAGTAAACCTTAGCAGTTAGTGTTTCTGAAAATCAGAAGGCCCTTAAGCAGCAAGTGTAGTCCCTAAGCCCACAGTTTCTGCTGTCATGTTTGTGAAAACATTCAGGACAGGTGACGAGAACCTGGATGTTATGTGTGTGTTTGTGTGTGTTCCCTATCATTAGGCAGCACTTCCAAGTCAAACCATGTCCACGTCTGACATACACAGAATGAAGAGGGCAAGCAATTGAAACGGTTCTTTTAAAACAACGTAGGGAAGACTTGCTAGTATGGAACACAGTTATGGCTGGTTAGGCCCCATTTTACTGAGCAGGGTTATTCCTAGTCTTTAAGGAGTTAACACTTGGAGGCGGTGAGGTTATGTGTCTTCTGAGAAAGTCAAGTTTTGTGCTGTGCTCATAAAGACACGCTTGCTTATCCAGTCTGCAGTGAATTAGTCCAAAGCAGTAGCAACAGCCCACATCACACTATGTTCTATGTTCTGTACTTAGGGAGTAGGAACCCTGATGCTCTGAGCGAATCAGGGTACATGCTTTATCTCTTCAGTGACTACAGCTACCTCTCTTGGTGGCTTATTAAGTCTCTGCAGCTGTGCAGAAACAGGTCACACTGGTAAATGCTCTCCACCTGCTATAACAGGCATAATTTCTCCTCTCAACCCCAAAAACAGAGCAGTGACCCCACTCTTTACCAAGTGGCATAGCAAAACCAGTTCTCTGGAAGGACAATGCTTCATGCTGGGACACACACACAAAATTAAAATGCACATATGTAATAGTAAATATCATTTGGTAGACCCTAAGCACTTTTTACTATAAAGACATTTTCATTTTGTTATCATTCTTAGTTTCTACCTTTTAGAACATCAGAAAGGAAAACAAAAATAAACACTGACTCATTCATTCTCCAGAGTAAGTGAATGCCAAACTTTGCTTTGGTCGGCTTGAATGCCAGTCATTCTGTACAACTTCTATTATAGGTCAATATTCCTTCAGCAAGTTACTCTGTCAGAGTATATGATATATCTGAAAGAAAATGTCTTTCTGAAATCCAGAACTATATATAACCAACATATGCCAATAGGAAAAGAGAGAGAGGGAAAAGAAGAAAAATACATAAAATGTTTAGAAGTAAACTTTACTACAGATGACTGGAGATTGAAATACATGTAGTTCTGATTCTTTTTCCTTTGGCTTAAAAAGTTATTAAGATAAAAAAAAAAAGGGAGGGAGAAATACTCATGTTCACAGGTGATAAGACTACACACACCTAAAATCCCAGAGAACCATCGTCAGCAACAAATTGTACTAGACTAGTAGAATGAGTTAAATAAGACAATCGGGTGAAAATTTAAGTCTAATACTACATTACAAGGCATGGAGGAAAAAAAGTGCTTTTGCAATAACACAAAACACATGAACTACAAACACAAAGGAGCAAATCAGTACTAAATGATAAATAGAAACTATACGTCAGAGCTTCACAGTGAGAAGCACAAGAATCTCGAAAAGGCATAGAATGTTTTTGGTCATGAACTGAGTACAAGTGCAACAGTATGACACTTCAACACAGCAAGTATAATTTAACCCTAGCTGACATTACACTCTGCCACGGAGCAACATATTTAAAATATTATGGAAATGGAAAGATATACCAGTAGAAAAAAGTGAGAGTTCAGATATAAATTGAATATACAAACACGTGTATATGTGTGTATATATACTTAGTGTACAGCAGTGTAAGCTTTCCCAAAGTGAAAGAGAAGCTTAACAAAAGGTCTAGCAATAACTGAGCAGCTATTTAGAGAAAAATACAGTAAGAGAATTCCTCTCCTTGAACCAAAACAAAACAAGTGTTACTGACAAAAATGCCATTTAAAAAAAATCAAGTTATCGGAAAAATCAGTTAGCAATCAAATTTGTTAGGTCTGTAGAAGAATTAGAAATTTCTCAGGTTATGGGGGAGGAGAAAAAATTACAAGACTAGCAGATTCTAATGAAGTATAAAAATTCTAATAAAAACAATAGAATAAAAAATTGACTGGAAAATATATCTCTATCAGGATGATAGACGACAGTCAAACATTTATGACCCAGAAAATTCCAAATTTATAACCAAAACACCAAGACCCCAGTAACAAAGAGTAGAAAGAGACAATCTCACAGGTGAAGCAGACACATGGCAAAATATTTACCCTGGCCAGTGATGAGAGCTACAAAATAGCACAACTTTGGCAAACTCTCACTCCCCCACTAAGGGAGCAAAGGTTTCTTGTTTTTAATTCTCACGTCAAATTGGTTCCCTCCTTTGCTGGTATACTGTGACTTGGTCCAATACCTTTGCATATCAAAACCTTTGTCCAATAAGACCTATCCTGAGATTTTTATTCTAAGGAAGTAACTCAACACACATGTATGGCATGGCTCGTGGCATCCCTCGAAAGACATTACCTTCCTAAGCACTCTTCTGGTGGCATGGCTAAGGGAAAAGGGCAGGTTGGGTCATTAAGGGGATGTGCAACTGAAAAACTCTTCAAATGGAAATAGTTGTGCAGAAACAGTTTTTTTTTTTTCTATGTTAAAAAAAAGTCAACTTTGTTATTCTCCTGTATTACATACAACTGAGCAAGGGCAGGCTGCAATCTGAAAGCCTTTATCCTCACCAGTTGTGTTCTCGTTCTCTCTCCCTTCCTGTTTAACAACCTAAGTGTTTCAGGAACGTTTTGCATTCACAGGTCTCAGACATCACTAGGTCAAACTGCAGTACATTGGATACAGCCTACACCAAATCCAACTTGTTGCCTCAAGCGGGCATCTTTTGTGGGTCCTTCTGCCTGAATCAAGTCCTAAAATATGTTGACAATGGAACTAAAAGCTTTTTTTTAAAGGATCTGAACCCTTTTCTGCACATTTGACTTTATCTGAGCCCTGAAGCCTAACAACCTCTGAGAGTGGGCAGGATGAAAGGCCACAGAAACACCCTGAAAGACCACCTAGGGGGCCTGGGTCCTAGAACCAGCAGGCGTCGTCCTTCAAGGCCTGACACAGGACACAGACCAACCTAGTTGTTCTGTGCTGAGGAACCCAGAGGCTCAAAATTTTAGGAAAAACCACAACTCACAAGGGCTGGAGAGTATTTTAGGATGGCTAATTGT